TAATTCCAATAATGGGCCAGTTCTTGTAATCCTCGTTTATTGGATGTAAGGAAAATTTCAGTTTTCAGAAAATTCAGCCCAGCAGTTTTTTTACATAAAATAAACCATTTTACAAAAATGCACTGTACTATAGTTATAATGTATACTACATTATGTTATATGGCATTATTTGTGCATATGTCAGGGCTGTCCCTTTTTATTGTAAATATAGACTAAGTCTCTTTAAATTTGTATTAGAAAATTACGTGTCTAAAGTATAAAGAAATTTTTTTAACCACAACTTTTCAGATGTTGAGTTCTGACTTAAATACACCTCATAACTGAATTTTTTTAATTCCATGTAGCAAGCAAGCTTGTTTGTATCAGTGTTGAATAAGCATAGGTTATTAAAAATAGCACTTGTAGAAGATTTCTTCTTGTATGAAAAATAGGATGACATAGTAATTGAGTTAGTGAACAGAGAAACTTTTCCTTTAATAAATCCAAAATTTCAATCCTAACCGTTTCTGTAATCTACTTGTTGTAGTGTTAATCCATTTTTCACATATACAGAATGTAGTGACAGAAGTGAATTAGAGTCGGGCTTCAGTTTAAGAAAAAACAGTACTTTTCTGTTATCAGAAATAAACTCAGAAATGTATGTATGTATGTGTATGTACCCAGTCCTGATAACACAGAAGTGCTAGAAAAACTTAGTGCTAGGAGTTTTGTATGCAGTATATTTTTCTGTTTTCTCTCATTTAAGAGTTTAAAAAAAGTCTTTTGAAAGTAATTTCAATCTCGGATATGTATCATTTTTAGCCTAAAATTCTTTATTGCATTTTTGCAGAAGCCATTTTTACTGCTGCCAAAAAAAAAAAAAAAAAAAAATCTTTTCAATTAATCTCCTTTTCATTTTCCCTTTGCATTGCCATTTCTTCTTACATATTACTATTTTTTAAATGTTTTTTATTCAATAAATCTTGATTAAATAAATTCTTAAGGTAAAAGTGCCTTTTGATTTGTTATATTTGTGAACAATTTAAATTTGTTGAAAATTTCTGAAGTATTTTATTTATAATTTCACTTGATTCTTTAGAAGGGCAATCATTAATTTGTTTATCATTATAAATCTAGTTAAGTATCTTTTATCTGTTTTTGTTTAAAGACTTAATTGTTGTTTTAAAATTTCTCTATACAAGCAAACCTCGTATAACACAGTAGGGTAGGTTCCTAGAAAATGCCGTGTTGTATGAGACCCAGAGCTAGTACAAAAAGGGGGCTACATTTCGAAAACTTATTAAAAATGAATGTTTTTTTTAAATTCTACATAAACAACTTAATTTTTATTAAACGTATATATGTCTGTACAACACAAAACCAATAAATTTCTTCATTGTCATTGCTCAGTATAATCAACTGAGAACTCCTCTTTTTTTTTTTTTTTTTTTAATGGAAAGAGATCGCTTTCACTTTCAGAATTTCTTTCTTCATTTAAAGTTCTGGCATTTTCTTCCTTCTTTAAAAAATCTGTAATTTGATTTGCTTACTAGTTCTTACCAGGTTCAGTGTAAATATCTTGCCATGGAGCTAGACAGTTTTGCAGCTCCCTTTTGAATTTTTGGCTTATTTCAGCAGAAGGGTCTGTATTCGAGAAAAATGATTCAAGATTTTCAGCTAAGTTTAGGCTTTCATTTAATTTTGGTTAAATTATTAACTGTACTATCTTCATCAGTGCTGGTGTCCTCAGAATCGATTTCATTTGCAACTTCAGATCATTTCCATAAAATCTGCTTTGTCAATTTCTTCTTCCGCTAATAAATCTTGAACATTTTCAGTAGCCATGTTGACAAAACCTTTGCTTCCAATTGATTTAGCAAGTTTTAATAAGCTAACAATTTCATTTTCTGATGATTCACGCACGTTTTCTATTTCAACTGAAGAGGGACATATCCTCTTCTAACATGCATTTAATGTTGATGTTTTCAGTTCTTTCAGATACAAAGATAAGATGTCAATACAGTGCTTGATTGAAAATGTCTTCCAGGCTTCCATTACCTTAATTCATTTTGAATCGGTTACATCTGATATCCACTGTAATGCTCTTCTTATGTAATATGTTTAAAGGGTATAAATAATACCTTGATGAAATGGTTGGAGTAACGAAGTAGTGTTAGGTGGTAGTAGCAATATTTTGACATTAGGATGATTCAAATCTTGTGGGTGACGTGGAGGATTATCTGATAGTAATAGAGCCTTGAAGCTCAAAATTTTCTGCCTCAAATAACGTTCAGAGTCTGGCACAAAGCAATTTAAAATCCAATATTTAGCTTCATATTCAACATCCTAGCAACTTCATATTCAGCTGATGCATATTCTCCTTGAATTCTTATGCTATGAGTTGCAAGATGCTTTTTGAAATTTTCGAATCAACCTTTACTTGCCAGAAAATCTGGGTGTACAGAGGATTCTCCATGTTCTTTAAGGTGCTTGAAAATTTTGAATGCTTTTTGTTTAATGATATTAACTTCTAACGGAATTCTGCTTTGACAGTTATCATCCTTTTCCATCTTCTCCATTGTTGGCTCCCGGGGAGCGACCTACACGTTTTGCGAACGTCAAAGATCATGCAGCAACTGCATTTCTTATTTCTTTTTCATTTTTCTTAATAGTCTGGACTGTTGCTTCATTCAAATTAAAACATTTTCCAATGTGAGATGCTTTTCTTCTTTTAAACGACTGTGCAAAATTTGTACCTTTACGTCTAAAGAAATGAATTTCCTCTAACATTTTTTTATCTTTATCAGACATTTTTGGGACTGAAACTTAAATGTCATAAAGATGAAAAGTATGCTTTACACACGTGGCTAGACACGACTGTCAAACCAGCAACGTGAGACACGTTGTTTTCAGGCCATGAGATGAGATTTGAATTGAAGCCAAATGTCAAGATTGTGCATTTAGAGCCTTATTGTGGCCCTATGTTGTCACTTCTGCGCTAGTGAGGTTCTTAATTGTGATCCTGGTGATTGTGCTCTCTTGGACTGGTATGTTCTGTTGTGCAATTGTGCTTGAGTTATGGAAAGAAATGATTTCCTCTGTACCGGTTAAGAATTCGCTCTCCTTCATGTGGCTCGTCTCCCTAAGGACATTTGTTCCTACGGGTACGGAATCTTGGAAGACAACTGGCAGAACTTACGAAACAAGGATTCTTATGTGTTAAATGACAAGGATTCTTATGTGCTTTGCTTGAATATGAAAATCTTTGTGCTGAGTTCATTAAATTTCTTCGGGTTGCTTGAGCAATTTTATGTTAGAGAGAAAACGTGTTGTAAGAAAGTTCTCGCAATTTATGAATCCTGTTATAGCAAAACCATGTTACAGAATGCCATGCTGTAGGAGGGCTACCTGTATTCCAAAATTCAAATGTTCCATGAGTAGTTTAACAAATAATAACACGGTATTAAAACAAGCTTGGACAATAATTTTTCTTCCAAATGCTTAGTTTCTGCAAGAGCCCAATGTAACCACTGTGGCTGCACTGAGCAGCAGAATTAAGATACCGCAGAGATTGCTCTTGGCAGCAAAAAGCATATTGTCTGCCTTGATTTTTGTTCTGCTCTGATATTGATTCTTCAGTAATAATTTTTCCTAACAATAGTAAGTAATTAAATCTTTATGTATTAAACAGTTACATATGCATGTAATAGTGTAGTAGTTTTATTCCGTTTTTAAAAGACTGAAAGGTCAGTTTTATATTTGTACTTGTTCTTATTGAAAGTATGGTAATATAAGTGCTAAGTACTTTTCTTCCTCTCCTTGTCGGATATGCAAAATTTTACAAATGCATCTTTTCCACGTTGGCAAGCATAATATTATTGCATGTACGACAGTATAATCATTAGACTTTCATAATGTAAAAATCAATAACTGCACTTTAGTTGTCATTAGCTATATAAATTCTCTAATCGTTTTGAGGGAGTCAGTAAGGCTCCTCCTCCTCCTTCAAGAAGAATAATCTTTGCTGTTGATACTGGAAACAACATTTAGATAAGTAAAATGAGTTTAACCTGTATAGTGCCATTAGCTAGCAGAAATAAATATATATATATATATCAAAGTCTGAATAGATTGGGATTTTTAATTATTAAGAAAAACTGAATTGGAATTAATATCATTAATAAAAATAAAAATAGTACAAGTCCTAAGACAGATTTTTCCATTTTGTATGTTTGAGATTGGTGTACATCTTTTCCTTACACAAAATTGTTTAGGTAAGCGATCAGCCTTTTGTAAATTTTTGTGTTTATGTCTGTCGTGCATGTTATTAATACATGCTATGACATTTAAAAATAAGCCAAAATACTTATGGGAATATTTAGAAGCTGTAAAAGATGATGTTTATGTGGTTTTATAGCTTATACATGCAGAAAAAATATGTCTAAAATTCAATATTCCTTAGAGTTTCTGTCTAAAAAGTTTAACACCTCAGCTATCTTTTAAGTAAAAAAAAAAAAAAAAACTTTGAATTAAAAAAAAAAAAAAAAAAAAAGACTTCTGCAGAGAACTGGTTTTCAAAGGATGAGTCCATGTAGAATTTAGAATAACCAAAATTTTGAATGAGCTAACTGTTAGTTGCTTATTTCATAGAATGGAAAGTACTTGTGTAATGAGCATTGAGAAGAATTAATGCAATGAATTCTTAACAGAAATGTAGGCTACATCTTTCACAAACTTGTTTTTAAGAGTATCTGAACAGTATATAAAATACAAGTCACTGTTTAGCAGATAACAGTTAAATTAAAGCTTTTTATTAACCTTATTTCTTTTAAAAAAGAACCTTAGGAAGGTTTTACTGATTGTCTGCCACAATTGAAAATTTTGTTAATATTTTTATTAAAATCTGTTCATATTTAGCTGTGTCATTTAAATGCATGTTTATTAACATAGCACTTATTATGTGAAATAGGAAAATATTTTACATTCATTTCTTAGGATAACATTTAAGTATGTCCTAACAGGTAATTTTCGAGCTGGTCATCAAGGAACAATTCTGAAAAAATATAGTGCTACAGAAGTTGCTTGTTTAGAAGCTATTATGAAAGACATTCTTCGACCATTTGTTCCAGAATATCGAGGAAAAGTAGTTCAAGACGATGAAAGTATCCTTATAGCTGACTTTATTCCTCTGAATGATTTATACCTTTTTAATAATTTTTATAAATAGGTTTAGTTTCATTTAACGTTCTTAATATTTTTCTGTTGTTAATTCAGTATTATGGAAATAAATAGTTTCTGATTACAATTTTAGCTAGTAAGGGTGAACCGTGATATAAAATCACCTACTTTGACAAAAGCGACCTTAAAAGCAAAATGACTTAATGTGCAGGAAAAGGTAATGTAATTATAATGTTGCACAATAATACAGAAAAGGGCAAATGTTTAAAAATAAGTTATTCACTTCCTGCTTATAATTTTAAATATTCAGCATGTAATTTGTACAATAAATTTTAATTAGTAGAGACTTCTTGCTTAAAAATTAGTGCATTTTTTTTATTGCTAAAGTTAATTAAGTTGAAGATTAAGGAACTGGTAATATGCAGTTGTTTAATTTTGATTTCAAAAATTGAACAGCTCTAAGTATTTAAAGATTCTGAAATATCTTTCAGTAATGTTGAATGCTATCATTAGATAATGCATAAAAATCCAATTATATCGCCTTTAGATATTGTCACGTTTTCAGTGAGATTATCTTCTTATCATCTTCACTCTGAACATTAAAAACTTGATCAGCAGTCATTGCCTATAAATCTATGAAGCAGCACCATCAATTGAGAAAATGCAAATTTTAATATCTATACCAACATATTCTAATCCATCCGGAATATTACAGCTCCACTTCTGAACATGTTGAGCCAAATCTGAGTATTGTTTTGTTTCTTTTAAGAGTGAGTGAAAATTGAAGCTGAAATCCAAATTCATTCAATACATATTACATGCTGTTTTGAGCTAGTTGCACAGTACACATTCTGAGATTGCTTTTAAACCATGTCTTTTTGCTTTTAAACCGTGTATTTTTTGCTTTATTACTTTTGTTCCAATACAATGCTGTAAAGAGACTACTGGGTAGTACAAGTAAATGGAACAAGACTGAAAATTGCAACTAACAAACAGGCAAGAAAGAAATACTGCATCTCTTAACAGAAGGGCTGTAAATTTGTGATGCTGCAAGTAATATTAATATCAGAGTCTGAAAATCTGGAATTTTATGCAATAAATTTGGTACTTGAGTATTATCTTAGCCACCATAGTAAAAGCTGGCAAATTTTCAGCCATTGCCAAACTCTGGCAAACCATATACACAACAGTTCTTTAGGTAACCATATCTATTGCAATTCAATCCAAAAATTCACAGAACCACCTTTTTCTTTTTTAAGAAATTGTAAAGTTGTGCCAAGGTGGTTGCAGTAAACCAGAGTTGCCATGCTACTTGTAAAACCAGAAAAATTCAAGGAATTCGAAAATTGACCAAAAAATTCAGGAAATGTAAACATTTTAGTCAAAAATCTGGAAACGTCAGGGAATTTCATATGGCAATACCCTCCCCCCCCCAAAAAAAGCGAGTTTTGCACCGACATTGGAAGCGATAACTTTTTTGGCGAATTGTGTATCGCGTGAGTGTCATTCGGGCAGCTGGCGTGCCCAATTTTCACAGTTCCAACTAGATTATCTTTTAGAAAGGCAAAGCAAGTTTCCAGCAACTTTGGTTTTCGGTAAGCTCGAGAAACGCATGCGTATGTGCGGGGCATGTTGAGCTAAACAAAATACTTATTCTCATATAAAACAAAATTGGTTTAATCCTAGTATATGGTACTATGGAGTTTAGAATCAGAGAATATGTATTGTTAAGAAAGAAAACTTCTCTGCAATAGGAGTGGTTCCATTCCAGTGTAGAGGGAAACAGCTGTGCATGCGCGAAATATCTGTCACCAGAGCTCGAATCCCCTGTCAAAGTTTGAAGGTCATGTTATCAAGAGTTCAAAAAAGGAATATCGTTTAAAATTTCTTTAAACTTTAAAGGAAAAAAATATTTTTTTACGCAAGTAAATTAATTACTGGATTAGTTATTTTGAGGGGGGGACTATGAAAATCCGTGTTTAAATTATTGCGAAAAATCAAAGAATGGTTCTTCTTAACACTAAGTTCCTCAATTTCCTGTACACATCGTGGAGAGGGAAATTCTGGCCACTAGGTTCCATTTCCAAATCCCTTCGCGAATTTTCCCTCCGCTTTCTAGCTGTGTAATAGCATTATGCCTATGGAACCTTTCCTTCTTTGCATAGACGTTCTTTGGTTAGAATAACCTGCATGTGTGCTATTCTAACCTTCCATGTACGGTACACATGGGATTTGACGACACGATGATAAGCAGTAAACGAGTCATTTTAGTGTTGGCAACAATTTTCAAAGCCGTGCTAATGCCTTACTCTTACTAGAATTTTACCCCAAAATGTTTTAAATCTTTTTTTTTTTTTTTCGTTTTAATAAATGCCTTATTACTGTGCGGAGTTTTTTTACGTTTTGCATTGTCTTCAGATATATTTCTGTTCTTTCTTTTTTTATTTAGGAAAGCCTCACCTCCAGTCTATTATGGCGGGAAGGCGCTATTTATCAGAGGAAGAATACCCTCGTATGGTTAGTGAACCATTTAACTAACGCAAATGAGAGTAGTGATTCTTTTTCTAAGAGTTACAAAGTGATACTTCTCTGTGCTTCGAGATTTACCACACTGGTTTTCATTTTAAATTTTGTTTCTTCTTACTGTAACTAGTCTTTATTGTGTTCTTTTTATTAATTTTAAACTTTATTGATGGATTTTATCAATTAAAACTTTGGAATAATTTGAATAGTGCTTCCGAAAATTATTTTAGAAGATAAGCAATTTTTTAAGTATATTTTCATGTAAAATAAAGAAAAAAAATGTTTTAAGGCCTAATGTTAACATATATAAAAGCTCAAGTAATAATCTAGAATGATACCAAAAATTTCGATGCTAGAAGCGAAACTTTTGTTTTTCTGATTTTTGTTATAAAATTAGGCTTAGCGATGTAAAACCTCCATCCTGTACGGTGACTGCCTTCGATTTTCTTCCGTCCCGCTCAAGCGTCTTAAACAAAGGTGCGCCGTCGCGAAAAGGTTAATGCATACATTTTTTCCTTATGCATGCTGCTAAATAAATATAAAATACCTGAATTTATTTTAAAATATCATTAAATACATTTCTTTTGTTTAACTGCAAAATGTATGCGAAAAATGACATTTTTTAATCCAGATTGGGCAGATTCTAATCTTCAGTGGAGAAAACAACTCCTATTATAATTAATGCTTCGGAAATTATATATATATATGTGTGTGTGTGTCATATGTAATTTGCAAATTTTTGTGTTTTCAAGTAAATACCATAATTAATTTACCTCTTAGCACAGCCAACGTGCATTATGCGGATAGACTGGAATTTTCTTAAAACACACCTGGAAAACCTGGAAAAGTCATTGAATTTCATTCTCCTGTTTGAATGGCAACTATGTAATATGTAAATATCATAAATTTGAACTTTAATGTAGCAGTGTTCGGCTGAGATTTTATAATACAGCAATACTTTACATAATCTGGGTTATGAGCTTCGTCAGTACCTTGGAATGTTTGAAACCAGACTTATTGAGAAATTAAACGTGCATAAAAAATTATAATTAGTTTCAAAAAATAAAAAAAATTCTATGCAATAAATAAAACATGATTAAAAATTTCAAATGTTTCTGTTAGTAATAATTTTTAAGAATGAATGTTTTTGTAATTCATTTTTTATTCTCTAAAAATGGCAGTATCAGCGTCTTCACAGTTTCCTTCTGTGTCACTTCTCTTTTTACATTTCTTTGCATTAAATTGCATTTTTTATCATTTGATGAATTGTAAGCCCACAATAAATATTGCGATTAATTTTCATAACATAGTCTAAAGTTTTCCACCATACTAATATTTTTTACGGTTGTTCAGCTGTTAATTCTCATGCAGGCACTTCAGCCTTCCATTCTGAATTGCCTCCCAATCTTCATAAGCCCATTGTTCATCTATGTGACTGTTTCATTATCTAGTTCATTAGTTTTATATTGACAGAACCTAAGTCATTGAAATCAAGTTGATATCTAATTCCTGCTATGCAATGTTCGACTTCAAAATGAGTTTTAAAACCATTGTAATCATGCCCAATGTTGTGTTATACATTTCCTTTTCTACCCTAGCAGTGCTTGCTGTTAATTCAAACTGTATTTTGCCAATATTTTTTATAATGTTTCTGTTGATCTAGCTCTTCCAAAATTCCTTTGAAGTAGATACTTTTTTATTCATGCAACTATAGGTGTCAGAGCTCTAGACTGAACAGCATCAAACTGTGTAACTTTAAAACTACACAAAAAGATACTTATCTGTATATAAGGGTTGGGGAACAATCATTTATACATTAAAAATAAATTTTTGTACTAATTTGTAAAAATTTAAATTTATTCTGCTGAATTAAAATTTAATTTCTTTTAAAATTTTTAAAACCAAACAATGGTGAATCCTCACTATGTAAGTATTACTGCGTTATTAGTAGGATGGCTTCAGAATAAGGTTTGACCTTTTTTTTTTTTCTTTTTTTTTTTTAATGAAACAGCTACAAATTCTGTATCCAATTTGAGCCTTTAAATATTCAGTAATTAAATATTGGGATTCATATATTTAAATTTAAATTCAGTAGCAGAAATATTTTAATTATAAAATCAATCTGTTAAATGATTTATAAAATCAGCGCATTGAAATTGTACTCATCTGCCATGTAGAATATCATCATCATTGAGCAATACTCAAAATTGCCACTGCAGGCAAGCATATGATAGTTTCAGGTGTTAACTTGATTAAAAGTAAAATTAGTGTTGTATCCAATTAGATCTTCCATTAAGTCCACTAAGAAAATTTTATGTTATTAGTTTACTTTTAACAATATTAGTAAGAATTGCTGATTTATAGCTTCATTGCCATAAGCTAATTCCAAAGTAATGAGTTAAATCTAATTATCAGATTGAAATCTGAGCTTTCATTATTATAAAATTTTCCTGGTATTACATACAAAAGTAAATAGTTTATTAAACTAAACTTTTTGTAGGCAAATCTAGATTTAAACAAAAATGGCTGTTTTATATGTAACCTTTTTTGCATGTGACAAACTTAAATATAAAAAGCACAGTTATAAACTTAAATATAAAAAGCACAGTTATAACTTTCAAAAAAGAGGTTGATTTAAAAAATGGGAGTTAAGTTGCTGAAGATTAGTATTGCTTGAAAAGGACTGAAGAAAATTAACAAAACAAGCTGTCAAATGTTTTGTTATTCAAGGATGTTAGTTTGATAGATAAATAAATTGTCACTTAAAAGAACTGTCACTATAAGATATTGAAAAATACCCCTCCTTCCGTACTAAATGTGCATAATCTTTGCTATATATTCATGTTTTTTTTAACTGAAAAAATGTTTACTCTAAAGCATAATATGTAATTTTTGTTGTGGTCATTATATTTGTATCACAAAACTGGATTAGCAGAAATGTAATTTTACTTTTAATAATAATCATAAATTTGCTATATTTGTGATCTCATGATTCATGCTCTTGGGTTATCTCAAAATTTACTATTTTGTGATAAACTATATTCCCTTATATGAAAACTTGCCTCCTGTGAAAATTCATTTAACCCTAACACACCCATAGGGCTAACACTCAAAATACCTGTTCAAAATTCTATAGAATGTAAACCGGTGGTTTCTTGCTTAACCACTTTCATAAATAGGTCTATAGAATGTAAACCGATGGTTTCTTGCTTAACCACTTTCATAAATAGGTAGTATAGAATGGCATCTTTTGACATGAAGTGTAAATTTTAGGAATGTAGTGCTTCATTAATATTGGCCTTTTATTGGTGTGATAACACTTGCAAAGTGCCATAAGTGGGCTTTTTAGCATTTTGTGCAATAAAATTTTGATATTGTTTCTGAAGTGGCTGTTACATTATTTTTTCAACATTGGTTGTTTTATATACTTTTGCATTTTGTTGACATAACAGCTATAAATTCATACATCTTGTTTTCTGTGAGGAATAAAGGCAAATCCATATTAATAAAAGATTTTCAAGTTTAGTGCTCTAAAAGGGTAAAAAAAGGTAGTATAGAATGGCATAAATAGGTAGTATAGAATGGCATCTTTTGACATGAAGTGTAAATTTTAGGAATGTAGTGCTTCATTAATATTGGCCTTTTATTGGTGTGATAACACTTGCAAAGTGCCATAAGTGGGCTTTTTAGCATTTTGTGCAATAAAATTTTGATATTGTTTCTGAAGTGGCTGTTACATTATTTTTTCAACACTGGTTGTTTTATATACTTTTGCATTTTGTTGACATAACAGCTATAAATTCATACATCTTGTTTTCTGTGAGGAATAAAGGCAAATCCATATTAATAAAAGATTTTCAAGTTTAGTGCTCTAAAAGGGTAAAAAGTGTGGAAGAAACACGTGCCCAAACAGTTGTTTTCTTCCATCTAAGATTTGCCAACAAGAAGCAGTAGATAGGCCAACATATGGGATGGGATGTCTTTGCAATGTTTATGCAGTACAAAAGCTGAACCCATGTCGCACAAAATGGTGATGCACAATTTGTAATGTTGCACTCTACTTGAATGGTAAGAACCATTTTCTATAGTATCATCATAAATAAATCAAGATGTGTAGTTCTAGTGTAGTGTAACTGCCATATTTTCTGTAATAATTTTAAAAAATTCAATAAAAATGTGTTGTTTATATTAATAATTACCAATGTGTTAACCATATGACAAGCAAATAAAATTTTTTACTTCCTAATTTTGGGGGAGCAAAGTATTAAATAAAACCAATATTTCTGTCTAGAAAGTGTGCTTGTCATAATATGAAATTTTTAATATACTGTACAAGAGTTGCTTCTATAAATCAACATGCCATAAAAACTTGACTGCTAGGCAGCTGATTTTAGAACTAGCAGCTGCCAATGGAGCTTTTGCATAATTAATGGAAAGACTTTTAATCTGGAAAGTTTGTGCTGGTTTGTGCTTCTGATCTCACAATGAATGTCTATTTGGAATTGATATAGAGAGCTGATATTGGAGTCTACAACAAATGGCCTGTATGTTAATTTCTGGGTCTAAAAGCATTTACATCTGGAGACCATATCATGGAATATTTCTGCCACCCTTGGGGAATATGTTACATAGTATTAATATGATAGTATGCAGAGAAAATAATGAATTAATGAAATCTTTAGTATGTGGTCGACAGAGAATGTTCTAAAATAAAAGTAAGGAGAAACTGCCCAGCTAATCTAAATCCCACAGAGAAGTTATAGGACACCCTTGGAGGAGCTGTTGTGTAATAAAATATCTCATCTTTACTGCCTTAAAAGTGATATTAGCAGAACCAAACTCTTATCGAGTATAAAAAATCATATTGAAGTATGTACAAATTGAGAGAAATCACATTTCTTATTAATGCAAGTCTTTATTTGTTCCTCGGGAATTGACCTTTCCTAGAATTTGATTGTTACTTGTTGCAAAAATTTGTTTCCTAGTTTTGCACATTATGTATTCATGTTTAACATTTCAGTTCAATTTACATGTTAAATGCTATATTATCATGCCAAATAAATTAATTCATTTTTATTCTACAATTTGAAAAATCTGATATTTGTGCACTTTAGATAACTTTAGACATCAATATATATCCTATATGACAAGTACTTAGATACAGTATAAAATGCATAGGTTGTTTTTATCTTGGATTTATCATACCTGTGAAGGAGAAAATCTATTCTGTTGAATAGTAATGGTTACTATTTTCTTGTTGTTTAAGGAGTTCTTTTTATATTTTAGCAGTTAGTTGCATGCTTTTGTCTTAATGCTGAACTACTGTTTTATTGAGAAATTCAAAATATTATACTTAATTAGTGAAGCATATGTTGAGCTGGATGACCTTCTAGCAAATTTTGAAAATCCCTGCATCATGGATATTAAAGTAGGTGTTCGAACTTATTCGGAAGAAGAACTTGCAAGAGCGAAAGAAAATCCTAAACTTCGTAAAGTAAGCTTTATTATTACTTCTGCTACAAATAACCAATTGTTTTAATAAAGCAAAACAGTGCTAATTATTTTAAAAAGTGTTATATTTGAATGTTGAAATGAATTTTAAAAAAAATATGCTAAAATATAAATCTTGGTAGGAAATGTATTGTTACCTAACCTTCTTAAATTTTATAATGTACTTGAATTATTTTCATAATTTACACACCTAAAACTGTCACCGTTTAAGTACATTTATTGCTAACTTAAGAACTTTTGATCATTAGTATGTTGTGCTGTTATGAAATGTTAATAGCGTACAGTAAAATTTTGCTGTTTGATTATCTAGTAAGTGAGAATCAAGCAGTGTTGTCTAGTAGATTCACAAATGCAATTAAGGTTATAAGTTTTCTCTCTCCTTCCAGCATGCCTTCGTGGTGTAACGATAGCACACACAGTGCATATTCAAAAGGTCCGGGTTAAAAACCGGCAAGGGCATTGCACATTTTTCACATCTCCTAACTTAATGACTCTAAAAATGGCTCCTGAACAGGGGCTCGATCCCCGAACCTTTCAAATATGCATCGAGTGTGCTACCATTACAACACAAAGGCATGCTGGAAGGAAGGAAAATATACCTTATATAAATAATTTGTTGCACCAGGATTTTCAATTGGGGCCTCTAAACTGCAGTTGCCTTTTAATGAAAGTGGGAGTATATGAGGAATTTACCCTACTTCCAGCTTGCCTTCATGGTGTAATGGTAGCGCATTCAGCATACATTCAAGAGATCCAAAGTTAGAGTCTCACCGAGGGCAATGGGCCATTTTCACATATCCTGCTTCAAAATAACCTAATGACTCTACAAGGACTCAGGAAACTAGGGTTATGAATTTATAATTTAACAAATTTAGAGCTTATTCCCAAAAATTTATTTGGAATTTTTGTTCATTTTTAGTTTTGTTTTTAGATGTTAAATTTGAAAATTAATGAAATATTGTGGATTTTTTTATTCACATTTTTGTACCTTTCTGGAAGATTATTATGGGACAAAGAGTGGCTGCTTAAGGAATATGCATAATTTGTTAATTTTTTCAATCCTGGAAACTCTTCAAATGTCTGTCCTCGGAATCCTGAGATGGCTGAAATCCCTCTTCTTTGAGTCTCTCTTCACAGGCATCCTCTTGCACTCTGTTAGAAATTTTCATGCTCAGATAAAATGCCTAACATCAAAGCAGTTAGTACATAAAACTAACTGCTTTGATGTTAGGCAAATGTCAATTTTACAATGGCTTTACAATGGTAGAAAATGTGTTTTATATTAACTGCTGCATTATTCTAATTTCTTTACATGCATGTATTTCTGACATGAATTTTTTTAAAATTATTTTGACTGCAGGTACTGGATTTCATGTGCTGGATCATTCTGATTTTTCCCACCCAGAAATGCTTTGTGAACATTTTCCCGTATTGTTGATTTAAATAATAAAATACAATGATACCTTAATATGTGTCATTAATTCATTCCAGATCCTAACAAACTTTTCCAATAAGAAGTAAAGGGAAAGTAATTAATCCACCCTTATAAAAAAATCCATTGTTGTTATTATAACACTGTTTAATACTAAAATACAAATACAGTGGGTGAAATAAATACTGTAATTGATTAAACTACTACACATGATACTGTACATATGGTTTTTCTGCTATCCAGATCAAGAATTTTTTCCACATGCTCCAGTGTGTCTGATCTTTGGTTGATAATCAATTCTATCCCTTTTGCAATGTTAACCTATTTAATAGCATCTTTATTTTTCACACGTATAGGCAACATATTACTCAACATTACAGTAGTCAAGTCGTGGATACACATGCCATCTTCATACTTTTCTATAATCTCTCTTATCGCCTCCATAGTGATCCGAACAATTTTTTTCATTACTTCACTCGTCTCACTTTCATCAGACTCAATGAATTTACAAAAAAGTGATGCAAACAAATGCAAAATTGCATGAAAATTCACTCGGTGACAGCTTAGGTAACTGAATAGGACTTATCAAACTCAAATCATATTTCAAACAAAAATTTCCACACCCAAGCTGAATATTATTTCAAAGTGGATGTATACTGAGGTACTTTTGTACGTGCTTTTTGCGAGCAGTTCTTGTAATTTTTTTCCTTGACACGTACTTTCCAGGTAGAAAAGAGGTATTTTGTCTTTTTCTTTTTAAGAGCTCATTTTATAGGTGTTATGGAAGCAACAGTATTTTTTGGTTTCAAATAAAATACAACTGTAATTTTAAAAATACTTGTACATACAATATTCATCGTAACCTGTGTTACAATAATTTTAACTTAATCTTTATTATTACAGAAAGTTCTATGAAGTTTCTATGAACTAATTTTAGACAGTATTTAAAAGCATAATAACTATGAGAAGACTTGAATGAACAAATATCCAGTACAAAGTCTGAGATCTGGATGTCCAATATCCAGAATGATCTAAAATCCAGACCTCAGAGCCACAAACTCTTTTTTTTTTTTTTTTCTTTTTTGTATGCTTTACACACAAAAAAACACATCCACAAGCATTTGATTTTGTCCTTCTAAGTATATGTGGGAGTTTATTTATTCAGGACTCAGATTAACATAAGCATGTGCAAGAAATAGATGTAAGTATAATAAATAACTAATACAATTCAGGCTTAATTCAATATGCGATAACAAAGCAAGATAAAATTTTGGCGGAACAACTTGTCTTTTGTCGCCACTCTTATGATAGATAGCCAGTAATGTATATCAGTTATAACACACACAAATTTTGTACTCTGAAAGGCATTCAGAAGCAGTCTATTTTCTTTACAACAAGTGGTGCATTTCTTTATTAAATTCTTTCTTGTTATATATTGATGAAACACAGCATGATCCCTTTGCACTGCTTTTCTCTTTTAACTCAAAATATTTTTTGCTAATTCTTCAGTCTTAACATTCCTAGATAACATGGTAATCCATCTTTTTTAACAGTTCAAGTGTTGCATAATTTCAGATGCTGATTGCATGTATATGCCATGATTTGGAACCTTAATTTTCAGTTTATTTTTTGGTGATTTTTGGTAAAAAGGTTCCAATTTAACATAATTATGCTGCATAAATGCATCTTTCAACATATTAAGTGCAACAAGTGTATTTGCAAAAAAATCTATTAAAATTAAAATCTGGGTTATTTTTTTATGTCAGTGATTGTGTTTAGTGCATTATTTCATCTTGGCCCAAATCTTACCATTTGCTGATTTAGATGGATTATCTGTTCTTCTATAATGTAATTAAAAATTTTATGTGTAGGTAAAAAATGATGTACACATCCATACTTTTAAGCCTATTTTTTCTGGTTTCAGTGGTGTATGTTGTCCCATTCCCAGTCTTCCTTTGTATTTTAACAAATGATCTAGATAATTCTTTCTATGAATTTAAAAATGCTTCACATTAGGTCTTTAAATTGGATTATAAGGGATTTGTTTTCTGATGGACATTGTGATTATTTCAACTTTTCTGCATTTTCTGTTTGATATAGGATTTTGAAAACAATCTGTTCGATGCCATAAGAATTTTTGTCATTTCCTAAAATAAGATTTCTAGACTATATTCCTATTATAATAATGCATAAATATGCTCATATTTCTACAATATCTTCAATTGACTTCCAGTGTTTTTCATAACAGTTTCTTTATTTTTCTGAAATTCAACATGTGAATTTGTTTTTATGTATAAATTTTCACAAATCATTAAATAATAATCTAAAACATTCTCTTGCTAATGAGCCTTTTGATTAAATATGGTTTGGGAAATCCTTCAAAGATTCTTCATTTGGTTTTTGAATTGTTAAGAATTTCTGTAAATGATAGCATTCGTTTGTCCTCTTATCCAAAATTAGATCCTAACCATTAGTTGTCATCTTCTGTTGATGATTCTTCAGAAGGTATCCTTGTTTGTCATCAAGTGTAGAATAAGTTGAATCATTATGGCTTGGATTAAATAACATAGCAGAGTTCCTTAAACTGTGGGTCGTAACCCCAATCTGCAGCAGGAGTTGCCAAGAATTATAACTATTTTGTTATTTCTTATAATAATTTTTCAATTACCAAATATTTTTACACTATGGAATCTGAAAATAGATAGATAAGACAGTACAGGCAAAAGGAAACAAAAGCGTTTTGATGCACTATTTTTTAATAATAGAAACATTTATTTTACTTGCTTTGCACGTGACACTGTCAGTTCATCAAAGGCCCTACATATGCAAGATTCGAGTGTTTTGATAACAACATGCGTGCTGGGTCGTCTTTGACTTCAACTGTCTTGCCAGTGTCAGAAGGTCAGCCATTCTAAGTGGATCATTTTCACACATTTGAGCATCCCTTCACTCCGAATATATGTAGGGTGTTGTTGTTTCATTAGCAAGTACGTAACTTCTTTTTGTAAATTATAGTTATTATCTATTTTAAAAAAAGCCCCTTATATAAGTTATAGTTATTGTCTATTTAAAAAAAGCACTCCTTGTATTCTTAAAAATAATTGTTATCAAATATTTTTACAAATCATGGATAAGTTTTTGAATTTAGGTAAACAAGATAAAAAAACTGAAAACAATGAAATGTCATCTCTGGTACTTAGCACGAGCGCACTTAAAATACCAAGAAAAGTAAAATATGACAATTCATGTTTGGAATTTGGTTTTACTTCTCATAATTATTACGGAATAGAAAAGCCATTATTTTTAAGTTGTAAAGGAGTTTTGGCTGTAGAAAGCATGAAACGAGCCAAATTAAAGAGACATCTCAATACAAAGCATACTTCGCACTACAAGAAACCCAAAGAGTACTTTGAACAACTTTTGAAATCATCAAAAATTTGGCTTTGAGAAATTTGTTACTGTGGATGAAAAGTATTTACTTGCATCTTATGAAGTATCCTATTTAATTACAAGAAATAAGAAGTCCTGTTAAATTGGAGAAAATGTAATATTGCTGACTGCTATTAAGATATCCGAAATAGTTCATGACAAAATGTATGCTGATGAAATCCGTAAAATTCCATTTTCCAACGATACTGTTTCAAAGCCAATTTTGGAAATTAATAATTAAAGTTTAACATCAGCTGCTAATAACAAGGCTCAAAAAGAGGCCAAAGTTTGCAATCCAGTTGGATGAATCAAATGATATTACTGACTTGGCTCAATTATTAGTGTATGTGAGATGTATTTTTGAAGGATGTATTCATGACGAATTTTTGTTTTGCCATTCTTTGAATGGACACACAAGAAGAGAGGACATTTTTGTAAAAGTTGGTGAATTTTTTCATTGAAGAAAGAAAAAGTGTGTTGGCTTTTGCACTGACGGTGCTAAAGGGATGGTCGGTAAAAAAAATTGGATTTCTAGCTAAAGGAAAGTGGCAGCAAACATATTACATTTACCCATTTCATGATACATCGAGAGGCTCTGGTGGCAAAAAACATATCAGCGGAGTTAGATGTTGTGTTTCGAGATAGTCCTTACTGTGGTCAACTTAAAGTCATGTTCTGAACAGTTGTTTGTTCTCAAATCTTTGTGAAGACATGGGTTCTGAATACAAAAGCTTATTATTACATACAGATGTAAGGTGGCTTTCAAGAGGCCACAGTTTATTAAAAGGTTATTAAAATTAAAAGATGTTCTCTCTTTCTAACCAAACAAAAAGTTTATTTTATAAATTTTTTCCATAATAAGTTGTGGCTACAAAAAATATGTTATTTGAATAACATATTTGAAAAACTAAAAGAACTAAATTTCTCAGTTCAAGGAAAAATTTGCAACATATTCATATTCAAATCAAAAATTGATACTTTTATTAAGAAAATTACCATATGGAGAACTATGGTGGAAAAGGATGTTTGTCACAACAAGTGAATTTTTAAGTGAAAATGATGAAACAGATCATCAAAAAGATGAGTTGTTAAAAGTGATAAATGAACACCTTCGCTGTCTTGAGAAAAACATTGAGAAATATTTCCCTTCAAATTTTAGTGTGGATGAACTATGGATTGTGAAGCCATTGGGAATTAATGTGGAAAATATTACTTATTTGCCATTAAAATTACAAGAAGAACTTGCCAAGTTATCAAATGATTTGGGGATGAAAATTGATTTTCTTACAAATTCTTTAAAAGATTTTGGTGTAGGAGTCTCAAAAGAATTTCCAATGATTTCTGAAACTGCCATAAACTTTCTTTTACCTTTTTCTGCGACATATTTGTCAGAGACGACATTTTTGTCATTAACCACCAAAAAATCAAAGTGTTGATCAAATGTAAAGAAGTGCTTCATCCTGTGGTGTCTACTGCATTGCCAAAATTTTATACTATAATTAGAAATAAACAGGCACACCCTTCCCATTGATACTTAATCCTTGTATATGCACTGTTAGAAGCAAGTGGGCTTTCTCAATAGTGACCTTCCAAGGGGCTACACTTAATGGGCAGATAATGGTAATATTTGAATTTACCCAAGTAATTTTATTAATTTTTATAACTGTATTATAGTTTGAATTTTGTTACTTATTTAAGATTTTCACATTGTGTTATGTCTTAAAATTAATGACCTAAAACTGCAATAGTATATTACAGTAAAAGTGAACGAACTGAATGAACTGGTGGTGTCACTTGATGTGGAGGATGTAAGACAGACAAAAGGTAAAAAAATTGTGTTTGAAAAAACTTTCAAGGCGGTTTGTAGTATTTGTCACCAAAGCCATAATGGATATCGCCTGTTGGTTTTGTAAATCATAAATCTCATCTGTCATATGATTTTTTTCCCCTTTTTATTTAATATCAAGAAAGCAAAATAATGAAAATTGAAGGGGGAACCCTTAATTCTTTTAGTTATGCGGATGATAAAAGCCAAAAAAAAAAAGGTTGGGAGAGGGAACATGACAGAGCAGCATTTCTCGTTACCCATTGCATTCATTCCCTGTAGATTTTCGTGGTCCATTCTTGTAACTGTATGCTTTGATGTTCAGATGAATAACAAATTTCGAATTGCATATTGCCTACTTCTTTTCATGAATGTATATTGTAGAGTAAATAGGAAAAAGAATTATCAATGTTCAAGCAGCTCAGGTATCCAGGAATGTATAAAATATTAATTTTCCTTTCTCCTCTTATAAATTGCCTGTAATTTCATTGATGATCATTTGTATTTATTTACCTTATTTCTAAAGCAAAGCATTCATTCTACAGCCAACTTATGTTAAAGCTGGAAATTTAGGCAAAAGTTTATTGTCTGCCATTGATTTAAAATTTATTGTTAGCAATGTGCAAAGGGTAGGAATTTTTATCTTAAAATTAAACATACGGAGTAAATAATTTGACAACGTTTATAATTTAACTTCCCAAAAATGTGCGAGTTCAATGTGAGTGAACTCTTTAACAACCACAAAATTACCAAAGCTTTTAAATGTGAAAGTGAAATGAGTATACATTTTTACAGCTATGTATTTAACTTCAAGTGTTATGATTAATGATATTTTTCACTTTCTTAAATGTATAAAAAGGATCATTTTCAGCATAACAATTTTCAAACATTGGCACTGATAGACAATAGGAAACAACTTATGTCACTTTAGGAACTATATCTATCTACTTGAAAAAAAGCCGGTATTCAAGTAAAAATGCCATTTTAACCTAAGTAAATGTTGTTGGAAACATATTTACTGAATTTCACTGGAGTTTCATTTTAAAAACTAATAAGAAATTGAAAAGTCAAATTTTTATTGAATTCAACCAAAAAAAAAGAGAGAGAAGAGAAACTGTTAATGATGAAGGAAGTATATCATTTTATTGTAACTGCTATTTTAAAATGTGCAAATTCTGGGAAGTTTCTTCAGCTACTTTGTCTACCATTCATTTGTCAATTTTTGAAAATGTTATGTAATATCTAACATGCATATCTTTCAGGATATGTATGAGAAAATGGTACAAATGGATGAAAATGAACCAACAGAAGAAGAACATAGGCTGAAAGCTGTCACAAAGCCTAGGTATATGGTTTGGAGGGAGACTATTAGCTCTACTGCAAATCTAGGTTTTCGAATTGAAGGCATAAAGGTGAGTAAAAGTGAAAAATGCTGGTTAATGATTTTGTATAGAATATAATTGTGCACATTAATGTAAAATATTTGATAATGAACCAGTAATTATCTCTAGTATTCTGACCTGTGACAGCATGCTATCTGTTATTGGGCTGTTCTGCTGTAAAATTAAAAAGTGATGTGTAAAGGATAAAAAAATTTAAATAATGTAGTCATGTGTGAAAGCATTGTTAGATACTGGAAATTCTATGCGAGAAGACATGTAATTGATGGTGCTTGTCAGTATGCAGTATAATCTCATGTTGTGCATTACACTGTGTTATGTATTATTTTAATTAAATTTTTCTGAACTCTGCAAAGGTAGATCTGCTGCATTTTATTGTAGTAGAAATCATTATTCTCTCTTCAGGAAGTAGTTCTGTGCTTTGAAGATTTGGGATTCTCGAAGAATGTACAAAATTTAATAAAAAACAAAAGATCTATAAATATGGTCTGCAGGATAATTATTGCATAATATGAACTTAAGGTTGTACTATAGTATATTGATATTTCTAAAAAAATATTTACCATTATTATTTACACATTTATTCCAGCAGGCAAGTTCAACCTATCTCCTTGGTTTGGGGCACTAAACAATATCATCATGTTGTTTAATGTGCCATCATTCGGAAAGTGTTTCTGCATGTAATTTGGCTTATAATATTAAAATATTTTCAATATAGAACAAATACCAAGGGAGAAGAGAATACTAGGAGAATTTTTGTTAGTCTTCATAAGTAGAGCTTTTAATAGAATGTTTCATTTTACATACCTTTTAAGCCTTCTAATATGCTAACCAAGTTAATTAGTAATGTAAGATGTGTCCGAGGTATTGTCTAGGTTAGCCATTTCATATGAATTTTTAAATGTCAGTTTAAATCCATTTTGTTTGTAATTTTTAAATATTTATGGAATGTTTAGATAAAATTTTTCCAAGTACACTTCTGTTTATATTAGGTCATCTGAAAGTTTTGTGAGTTTTAAAAATCAATTTGTTACTGCCGATAAGGATTGACCTTAATTGTAACAGATATTTAAATATGGTCCTTTCTGCTTGCACTGCATAATTCTAGCAGGTATTGTGACATAATTTATTTTCATTGCAGTGCTAATAATGGAGAAATCAAAAGTTCATTTGTGTCATTTATCTGTTTTATTTTAAAAAAGGAAAAATGCTAATCATATTGCTTGTTGCTGCATATGAACAAAAAGTTCTTACTGATGACACAGTTTGAAGGTGGTTTGAGAAGTTTAAGCACTGATATTTCATCCTCGAATATGATGCCTTCTGTAGATGACTATCCTATGTAAACAAGGACCTATTGAAATTAACTATCACTGAAAAGTTCAGGGGTAATCAAACAAACTCTGTATTCTGAAAAGTACAGCACATGGTCATTTGTGAAGGACTGGATACTATGTCAGCGTACCCTCATATTTCAGCGAGCAGAATATGCTGAGTTTCAACACGTGATTCTTTGCTGGAAAGAAATAAAAGATTTTGAAATGGCTCATTACTGAAGAAGTGGATACTGAGCAATGTTATGAGAAAAGGATCATGATGTTAACCAGAACGTCCTTTAGTAACATCAAGAGCAGGGCTACAAACCCCAAAAAGTACTTGGGACTACAAAGGAATCACCAAATCAGACAGTAAATTCAGAAAATACTCTTTCTAAAGAGCACTTTTGAAAGCTGAAATCAAAGCAGAGTGCTTAGAACTGACTGAAATCCATGATGGCAGTGTTTGGCCCAACATTTCACTGACTGTAAGACTGAAACTTATTTAGTTGGGATTTTTGCATCACCTTTCATATTCAGCAGATATTACCCCCTCGGATTTTCATCTCTTCAAATCACTTCAGAATTCTCTGAATGCCCTGAAGTTCACTGCTTTGGAGACTGTCATATAGCACATCAGTAACTTTACAACTAAACTTAGTGAGTTTTTAAGGAAGAAATTTTCTAGTCGCCGGAGTGATTGCAGAAAGTCATAGAAATGGTGTTTAAATGATTCAGTGAAATCTTATATTTTGTAATGCTTCATTTGTATTTATCATCAAGAAACCGCATAATAGTAAACTGTAAATTTATTTAGGATGGTGCAATAGTAATTTTTTTTTGTTTTGTTTTGTTATTATGTGTCCTTGAAGTGCATAAGAATGATAAAATGATAAGTTACTTGTTTATTGGTCCATTAATTTTTGTGTTTCATTAATACAAATAAAAACCTATGTTTCCTTGAATTCTCATATGCAATAGAATGTAATTTTCTGAACACCTGAGTTTTAATGTCAAGCCACTAATCAGAATGATTTTAGAAAGAGTAAAGTAAAAATTTCTTCATTAAGGAAGCTTTGAGTAACTGCTTAAATGGAAAGAAAAAAAGCCTTAATAGGAAATTGGAATTCTGATAAGAATAAAATTAATAAACGTCTGAAAATCTATGATAGCAATTTCATATTGTCTATTCATGATGAATAAAAGTCAAACTAATGAAATCTGTTGTTATAATAAGGTCCAAATTTATCAAATATTGAAGCTCCTAAATGTAAAAGTACCAATGAACTGGTTAAGCGTAGATGATTCTAATCCATTAAAAAATTTCTATGTAAAAGAATGTCTTTGAAATTAAGAAAAACAATATAGTGTTAAAATATGATTAATTTCTGTCATTATTTTAAGAGGTAAATATCATTGTTGCCTCAAAAAAAGTTCTCAATTCATCATGATGCAAAGTTTTTTAATCCTCTCAGTTGTGTAGAAAACTGCAATTTAATATAGGTTTGAGAAAATTTGGGACATTTATATGATTTTGTAGGGCATATGGGGAAATGATGCATGTATCTTTTTAAAGTTGGATATCTTACATTACAAGCATGAAATGTGATATATTTCTGGTGTATTAAAGTTGGGTATTTTTCCTTTAGATTTTTCCAAGTTATTGAAAATAGTATTTGAGATCAGTACTTTAGTTTTGAAAGCTGCTTGATAAATATTTCTTTCTGTTGTGTATACTACATAACAAGCATTAATTATTTTAGGGTGAATGTTTCAGTTTGTGATGGATCCTTGAAATCACATATGATGATTGCTTATTGTCTTTATAAAATACCTATCTTGTGTTCGTAGTCTGTTCTTGAAATGTGTATTTTTTGCATGCCAGTAGTGAAACCTTATCTGGTAATGACATTCAAATAAATCTAAAATAATATAAGGTAAATTTGCCTTAAAAAGTCTTGCATAATGCATGTATGTTACTTTACTAGAACTCATCTAGAACTAGTAAAGTAACTTTACTAGAACTGTTTTTCAGTATCAGTTTCAGTAAACTCTGTGTTAATATGAATATGTGCTCCAGTTATTTCTGCCTTTTGAATATTGTTATGGAAATTTTATTTTCAATGAATGTTTACTAGAAATGGGAACAAAAAAGGGGGAGAAAGAAAAGAATTATAAGTTCTCTGATTCTTCCTGACAGATTTTAGTAGCACTGATTATATATATATATTAAGCTGACATTTATCACGTCTGATATGCATTTTAAATTCCATTATCAAATTGTTACCAAAGCTTCATCCTCCTAAATAATGTGACTAAATTTTATTCATAAATCTGAAAGTGTAATGAAATTTGAGCATAAAAAATACCTACTTCATATTGATAAGTTATTCTAGTTACACTATGATTTTTAATGCAAAAGTAACCATTATCAGTTGTCCCATGCATAAATGGGCATCATTGATCTACTAATAATTATTTGTATTGTTCAACACACGTAGATATTCTGTTATTAAGTTGTTTGGGCATTCTTTTTTATTGAGAGAAAGCTAACTTTCATAACTGGCTGTAGAGAAAGTACAATAATTTTCCTTTTATAAATTAATGATATTAACTTTTGTCATGTGTATGAGTTAAAATATGTCAATTTAATTGTTGGCTGAAACAATATCATCATATAGAATAGAATGTAAAATGTGCATCGGATTATACTGCCATAAAGTATGAGGCAAAAATAATATATACATATTAAAATGACATAATTTAAAACTTGGGATTTTGATTATAACATTACCAAGTTTAACTACTGTGTAACGTTCCCCCCCCTGAAAAAAACGATTTCTGGTGATATTATTATTAGATCTTTATAAATTAAGGGATAACAAGAGTTCTATAATTTAGGGAAAGCACATCCAAAGTTTGGGGGGGCGGCAAAAATTTAGAACTTAAAATGGTGCTTTGTAGCAGAATTTAGAACCTGCAGAGACTGCATCAGGCAGTATCTGTCGCCGGCCCTAGATAAAGCTTGAAGTATATGTGGAAGTTTATTTATTCAGGACTCAGATTAATATTAAGCATGTGCAAGAAACAGACATAAGTGTAATAAATAACTAAACTAATACAATTCAGGCTTAATTCAGTATGCGATAGTAAAGCAAGACAAAATTTTGCTGGTGAGTGATTTCTTCCTGAAACCTATCATTTAAGTTTCTTAATTGAACAATTAAATTTTTTAATATTAAAAAATTATGTATATGTTACATAGGGGGCATAAAAATTTAAGAAGGGCTTAGGTGGGGCATGGCACAAAAAAGGTTGGGAAACACTGCTTTAGATCATAAATGCTCTTTTTTTCATAAATCATGATTTCATATTGTATAATTTCTCCATGCCATCTTACTAGATTTAAATTGATGATCTAATATCTGGAAAAGTCCTAAATCCGGAATCGAAAACTTAAGTTATGAATCTCAGACTTTGTACTGTATAACTTTAGGGAAATAAAGGTGTGCCCATTAACTAATCAGACAAATTAAGAAACTAAATGATAAAATAAAGTAAAAGAATAAATGTATGTTTAGAAAGGGTGATTTCTCAACTCATGTTAAAGCCAGTTTAAATTGGTTATTTTGTCGTTTGCATATCAAAATGCCATTTTCATTTACTAAGAAGACTTATAAAAAAATTTGCTTCGAGGTGAAACAACATTATAACCTTAAATTTTGTTACAAATTAGGTAAATCTGCTACCGAAGCATTAGAGATAATTCAAACAGTATATGGTGATACATCGTTATGAAGAGCACAAGTGTATGAGTAGTAATGTGTGAGTGCATATGTGAAGAAGTGCTTTAAATGAGTGAGTTTGTGTGAACACAAGTGTACGAGCACTTTAAATGTTTGTACAAAGTCATTGAAGGTTAACCAAAGATATGGTGCTCTTCAACTTCAAAGAATGAGGAAAATATGGAGAAAATCAGTTCCGTGGTAAAAGCTGGCAGACGTGTAACAACTAAGCAACTTTCAGGCATGCTTGGGATATGCAAAAAAAACTGTAGGTTAATTTTAATTGATAATGTGAAAATGAGGAAAGTTTATGCTTAATTTTACCTTAGACTTTGACAGAACTGCAAAAAAGAGACAAAGCTTGCTGTGAAGATTTGCTGACTACTGTGAGACAGAATAACAATTTCCTAAATTATATCACAGTAAGAGAGGAGAGCTAGTCCTCCAGAAACAAAGTGCACATTGGAAAGGAACGTCTTCTGGAAAGTGCACCATCTACCCTCCCCCCCCCAAAAAAGAGGGGAGCACGGATTTGAAAACTTAAGTCTGTGGTAATTCTGATTCCATTTTTGATTACAGTGGACTTAATTTACCATGAATTTAGTTAAAGTTAGTCATTATTTAGTAAAAGGTTAATAATTTTATAATTATTTTGGTAAAAATCTATTTTTATTTCCTTCAAGAAATCTGATGGAACTACAAGTAAAGACTTTAAAAGTACTAAAACCAAAGAACAAGTAATGACTGCCATACGAGAATTCACAGATGGCTTCCCTTTAGCTCTTGTAAGTAGTAGATTTTAAAATCTTAAAATTGTTGTAATATCCTTGTATTCGTGTAATGTATATTTTAGTTATGCATGTCCTGTTTCCATAATGATATACTGTGAGCAACTTAGCATTTTATGACCGTGAAAGGACCATTAGTATGAAAGCCGAACACATTTTTGTGAAAATATCTTGTATGATGAGAATTTATATATATATATACATGATAATCTTAGATTGCTGATATACATGATAATCTTAGATCATGTTATTTACTAATAACATTTTAATCATTATGATGGCAAGTTTCTTTGATCATTGACAAAAGTGAGATACATTGCTAAAGAATAATTGACAATATTTATTGTTAATTAATTTGTGCACAAAATTGGCATGTACTTGTGGTAATTATAGCCTTGTTGTGAACATGTGATGCAAAATATATATCACCATGAACTACATTTTTGAAGTCCTATCTTCTGGCTGTCAGTGTTTAAATATGAATTTCATGTGTTTAAAGTACATTGTATTTTCAGCTATTGGAATGCAAGAATTTTGATACTATATGTAAAGATTAGAGTGTTTGTAAAATTTCCCTTGGAACTGTAATATATTAAGTTGATGAGTCATCACATATGTCCAGTACCTGAAAGAAATGACATTTAAATTTTTATTTTTGCAGAAATTGCAGGGCTAAACCTTTATAGATTGATGAGATGCCTCAGATAATGTTCGAATGGCATTGCCATATTCTTGGAGAGAATGCTCATTTTATTAAGCAAAGTTTAAAAAGGATACATGGTTTGTAATGAAAGAATTACTTAAAACAGTTATTTAACGCATGAATAATTTGATAAATTTTCATTTAATATAGATTGTATATACAGTTAAGTTACATTCCCTTAAAGTGACTACATTCATGTAACAAAAGCTGTTTGATTATCTGATTTGGAAATTTCCTGTAATTTATGTTACTGTGAACTATACCAACAGTTGACGGACTTGCTTAGAGCTTTGCTTGTATTCTCATGACATAGTTTTAATCATTACTGTATTATAAACTTCATTAATTATAGTTAGTATAAAGAATTACATATGCAATAGATGCAAACTACTGAATATTTAAGTCAGTTTGACGTGGTGTTTATCTTATCTATTCACCCCCCCCCTACGAATGTTTGTTCCATTCTGCAAGAAACTGATTACCTAGTATTACAAGGACCTACGTAGTGTCAGATTCATTTAGTAGCTCGTGCATGTCAGCTTGACTTTTTGTATGTAAGATTTACAATAAAGAATTGCTGTTGAATGTTGAATTGTAAACAATTTATTACATACTCTGTTTTTGCTTTAGACATAGCCCATCATTCTTGCCACTTTCTGAATTTGAATGAAAGATACACAAAATCATCTTTTCTGGTTGCCTTTAGTTGCATTGCCTTGATTGCCTCAGTATCTTGAATCAATTCAAAATATTTACTCTTTGTGGTTGTTTCAGCTCTAAGGAAATGTCAAAATCTGGTCAGTAAGATGGATGAGGACAAACTGTGATGTTTTTATGTGATAGAAAATGCCATTAGAAATTATGTGTGACATAGAGTACCAGTCATGTTGAAAAATGAAACTGTTTGAAAAGTTTTAGCATCCTTCCCCCCCAGAATTTACTATATTTAATTTATAACATGATTTTTTATGATATGCAGGCTTTATTGGTGTATATTTATACTAATTACAATGGAAGCTGAATTTTCATACTTTCTTGAAATCTTAATTATGCACAACAAATGCAGTTTGAGTACTAATGTTTCAGAAACTGTTTTGTTCTTCCATATGCCACATCTTGCTGTCTACTGAACAAAAGATCTTTTGTGTGAAAATATTACTGCATTGCAGTAAACTGCAAGAGACTATTGATTTTGTAAATTTATATAGTCCACTCCCCCCCAAAAAAAAATTATAAAATCAAAAGTTAACCATTAGAATTGGCATTAAAAATAAATCTTTGGGTACAACACGTATTTAAAAAAAGTACTAGTCTATTGTAAAATGAAACTTCATAGTCTTTTCCTTATGTGAGTTCAATGTTTATTCAGAGTTCAGTTTTGAATTTTGCTGACTGATATAATTTAATTGTCAGTTGCTGTTTGAAGGAAAAAAATCTTGTTGGTGAGCCTTAAAAATTAGTCCATGCAGTTTTGTATACAAACTTGAAAACCTAAAACTGTTTATTTTGGCCCTATTTTGTTGATCAAAAACGAAACTGCAAAAAAGGAGCAGCTTCAGAGAAATTAATTTGCTGATCTGAATGTGTACCATGTTAAAGTTGCGGTTCTGCATAAAGTTCCTTCCACTGTTAAAGGGGCTCTCGACCTTTTTCTGTCCCATGCTTCCCTTTCACCATTAGACCATCATTCCCCTATTCTTTTTCAAGACTCGAATAATATATATGCATTTATTTAAATTAGATTATTTTTAAATGTGTTTTATAAATTGAGCAATTATAGAAAATGTATAAATACCAAAACATAAACAAAAGTAGTCTTGTATAAACATAAACTAAACAGGCTGACTTCATTTCCCCTGAAACTTAATCCCCCTCCCCATTTTGAGAACCTCTGCACTATAAGGTAATACATGAATAGTATAGGCAAAAGAATCATTAGGTTTGACTTTCATAAATAGCGCAATTTCTCCCAGTACATCCAAATAAAATTCTTTTCTAATCATAAATTCATGTATAATAATTTTTTGGAATCATAATTTTTATTTAACATTCAGAGATATTTCTTTATAAATATATCTCTTTGAACTTTGGTGTAGTAGTTTCAAATTTTACTGATTCATTTCTATTTATATAGAATAGCTATTACTTGCGTCTACAATCCATTTATAACACCTTGGAGAAGTCTGAGTTTTTCTCAAATCATGAGGTAATATAACTTATTATTTGCACTAAAAATATTTTATAAAATTTGCCTATTTAAAGAATTATGCTACTTTTTATAACTTTTGTACTAATATTAAGGCAGTGTCCTTTTCTGTAATCAAAACCAAATAAGCTTAGTTAAACCCATGTTAATTATATTTTAAAGTTTTTTATTGTGGTGTTTCATATTTAATACATGTTTAATAGTATGGGACAAAGTGTTTTTCAGCTTATAATCTAATTAACTGTATTAATAAAATGATTCCGATCTTGTTGGTGCATCATTTCTTTTAGTTCTTCTGTTTTCTTTTTACAGTAAGTCAGTTACAAGATTTCAGCCAAAATAAAAAATATAGATTTATACAATTACATAAGACACACGGGCCTTGTTTATAAGTACTTATGTAAATAATCTTATTGATTAACTGCACTTTGTGGAAAATTTCGTCATGTTGTTTTCTCTGGGTAACAAATTAATCTTGCTGAAAGCTGAGAATTTTTTAGGGATTAGACTGCATTATTAAATTATAGGAAAACACACAAGAGCTGTCTGTCTAAGAGAAGGAATGCTTTTTGTTCAAGACTTTTGAAGGAAATGAGCCAGTCTTCATATTCTCATTACACATGATGAAATGCCACGAAAGCTCCAATTCCTCACTGACATTTGAACCTAGGTCAAACTGCCAACATTCAGTAGTCTTACCACTTAACCCTTGGGGGGGGGGGTAATTTTGTAAGAACTAAATCTTTTTTCTTCCCAAGAGAATCTCATTACATAGTATGAGTACATACTATGTAATGTGAGTGGCATAACTTTTTGAATCAGATGAAGACAGCATTTATTTACAAAAGATTTGTTTAGATACTTTTCCTAACATTCTGTTAAGCTATTTACATCATTATAAAAAATAAAGAGGCAAATTATTTTGAATAACAAAGTAATGTATACCAAATCGCAACAAATCCTATGCTTGAATAAAAACAGTCATGTTTCTAAGAGCATTAAAAAAAGCAGTGCTGCACCCTCAGCTTTGAAATTTCTCCTCTCTCAGAAACTAATTTTGGGCATTGTACGTTTTTTCTAATAACATGACCAAATATAAAAATATACTAACTTTTTCCCTTATTAAGAAAGATTAATGTGCACTGCAAGCAAACAAAACCTATAAAAACAGAGCTAAAGTTGCTATACAGTAGTACCTCCTGTAAGGGACAATTCTGTTGGTCCCTTCTGAATAGGGACCTTAATGTATATACCTCTTATTAAGGTACTGAAAATCAATTTCAAAAATAAGATAGAGAAATAAAAATAGAAATGCTCTTTGTTAATAATCTTTTGAGTGTTCAAAGGCACACAGTGAGAGACAGTTTTGTGACAAGGGAACAATAAATTGAAAAGGTAATCCCTCTGTTTTGAAATTTGCTTTTCAGTTGGGAAAAGATAGAAAAATCAAATTGTGGTAGAGTGAAAACTTCTATCATTCATAGTTCTTGCTAGGCCTGGGGAGCCAGGAAGTGCAGTTTTGTTCTTGTATGTTATTTTTACGTATGTTATTTATCATGGCTTCAAAAAGGAAAAGATTAACATTAAAACAAAACGTTGATTTAATTCATGTAGGAGAAACTGAAAAGCTTGGTTTGAGAGATATAGGGCAGAAATCTGGAATAAGTAAAACCAAGTAAGTTTTGTGCTAAAAGGATAGAGAAGAAGAAAAATTATGATTGAAATGAGCCTTCCAAGACTGCAAAATTTAGAAAAACTGAAGCATGTGGAATTGATACATTAATGTTCAACTGGTTTTGTTCTTAAGAGCAAGCAGTTTTCCTGTAAGTGTAGTATTATTGCAAGAAAAGGGAAAAGAAGTTGTGGAAAATCTGGGACTACAGAACTTCAAAGCATCAAATGGTTAGTTTGACAAATTTTTAAGCAAAGACATCGCATTTTGAGACTATTTGCGATGAAGAAAATTCAGTAAATGTGTAACATAAAAGAGTAGATAAAAAAAACTAAGTGAAATTCATAAGGAACATCTCACTCTGTTACTTTGTTGTAACATGGAAGAAGAGTTTGCACAACCACTTGTAATTGGAAAAACCAAGATGCTTCAAACACATCAATCTAAAACCTTTGTCGGTCATCACACACACACACAACAAAAAAAAAAAAAAATCAATCATGGATAATACAAAGCATAACGTAAGAATGGTTGATTGCATTTGATAAAATGATGTCTTAAAAAGAAATAGGAAGATTCTGTTTTTTTTTTTTTTTTTTTTTTTTTTTTTTTTTTTTGTTGTTGTTGTTCCAGTTGTATCAGTTGTTTCAAGCTGCTTTTGGAAACAACGATCAGTTTGCAAAACATGTATTGAATGCCATTCAGTAGATAACAAAGCTGTTAAATCTCTATCACAAAGTTGTGTTCAGCGCAGTTTTAAGAAAACAACCTTTGAAATGCAAAATTTGAGTGCCCTCAGTGAGAATACCGTTGATGAAAATGAATTATTTGAATTTGTCAAAATCAGTGACAGTGCTCAAACACGAGTATTTACAAATCGATGAACGCTTGTATACTGAAGACACCAGTGATGACTTTAAAGCTTCTCTTAATTGTAGTTGATGATGTGAGCCTTACTAAAAATAGCTTGGAAAGCAGTGAGGAAAATGAAGAAAAGCCATACGAAAGGTGTGACATAAAAGATTAAACAGATACCTTAAAATACACCTCCCAATTAAAACAGTTCATGATTACTGTTGGTGATAGTAAAGGATTTAAAATCATCAGTTTCTTCTCATAGAAAAAAGAAATACTCTCACATCCAAAAAGTTAAGCACGAAGATGTAAAATGCAAAAAAATCAACAAATACTGCTTTGATTGACACAAAATTCGGCAGGAAAGTAACATATATATTTATGTATAAAACAAAATCAATAATTATATACAGAAATGAAAACAATATTAAATGTTTGTAAGTTATCAGAAATTGGTGTACTGGAGACTTAAATAGAATTATGTATAAAGTGAAAATAAACAGCATAAAATGAAAAAAAGGACATTAATAGGGTATGTGATCCCCCCCTTCATCTGTATACAAAGTTTACACCTTGTGACCATGCTTTCAATTAGGTGGTCAACCACCGCAGAATTAAGCAATTGCCATTTTTTTTGTAAAGCAGTTTCCAGCTCGATAAGAGTGGCTGGGGGTGGGAAACATGAAGATACAGCATGGCCAAGAGCATCCCAAAGACTTTCAATGGGATTAAGGTCGAGCGAATATGCTGCCACGCCATACGCGCAATCCCTTCACTCTCCAGGTAGCTCTACGAGGACATGCGTTATCATCTATTTAAACAGAAGTAGGGCCAACTGCTACAGTGTACAATCTCACAATGGGTTCTAGGACTTCATTGATGTTTTGGGACCAGTTGCATGCTCGTTGTTCACGTCATATCCTTATACGCTTGTCATCTGGCTCCAGAGGAAACCTTGACTCGTCAGTAAACATGACATTGCCCCAGTCAGACACATTCCAATTGACATGTTCCCAGCACCCCCTCTTGATTGGGCAGATAGAGGAACACAAACTCGAGGTACCCAGGCATACAGTCCACTCATGTAGCTGCAGATATCACCTTACCAATGGACGCTGTAACCATAGATGTCACAGGTGTGGAGGTCGCTTGGCGATTCCGCTTGGCTATAATAGCAATATATCGATCTTTCGCGGGGGTTGTAACCCTTGGGCAAGCGGCTACGGGCCTTCGGACAACTGTCTGTGTGGTTTGGAATTGTTTCCACAAACGTGAAATTACAGAATGATGAACGACGAAGAAAAGAGCAACATCTCTGATCGACCGTCCTGCTGCAATGCGCCTTACAGCACACCAGAATCTTACTCAGAATCTTACATTCGTCTTCTGGAAGTCAAAGAAACACATATGTCTTGAAAACAAATTGTACGAAAGTTTCAAACACCTTCTACCAGCACTTACAATCAATTTCTGTAACCCTTCATAAAGTTGGTACATAAAGCTTATAAGACTGCCTTTTTTTGCATATTTCTTGACATGAAAGCGCAATTGGCTGTTACCTAACATATTTGCATACTTCCATCTACCTCTGCAGCGAATTGCATCCTCTTCAATTCTGATTGGCTTCCAGAAATTAGCATTTTTCTCTCCGTGCTTAACTTTTGGAAGTGAGTGTAGAAATAAGTGCTTCCAATTCTCAGACTTTCAAACAAACCCATGTAATGGATTATTTTCAATAAATTTATGCAAGTACAAAACTCTTATTGTTTATTTCATACATTTTTGCAGTAACTAAACCTTTTTTAATTAAGAACTTTCATTAATTTCAAATTCAAATAAATACCTGCGACTATATTACTATTTATATATAATTTATTTAGGGCTTGATGCAACCTGAATTTCTAATTAAATTGCATATTTCTAGTATGTATTTTCTTGAAGTGACAAAATATCTGGTCCAGTAGTTGTCCCTTATTGGGAGGGGGTACTACTGTATGTACTGCTATTGAAATTAAAATAGTTATAATACCTTGTTTTGAATTTTTAAACCTTTAATAAAATAAAGAACTTAAAAAATTTGTAAAAGCTATGCAACTTAGAAATGCAATAATATTTACAAAAAATTAAAGTCTGTTATAGAAGTTTAAAATGCAGTTACGTTTCGACTTTCATCTATAGCAAAATTTTTTCAGTTGCTTAAAAAGCTAAGAATTAAAAAAGTAAAAAAAATTATCTGACTATTTACAAAAAAAGATTGAGCTTTCCTATACAACAGTCTTTAACTGCTCCCTTTGCATTACGAAACTTAATCGTAGCATCACACTCTTATTAGCATATCTGATAGTTTCATTTTACATCAAGTGTCTCTCTTTAAAAAGAGGTTCCAAAATCTTTTCATCAGTTTCAATTAGATATCAAATTAAACTTTTCTGTTTTATTAATTAAATTATTATTATTAAAAAAATTATCTGTTTTCAAACTTATTACTTGCAACTATTATATGTAATTGCTAATTGGATAAAATGTTGGTTTGAATGTTTATACACAAATAATGAACATACGAATATAAAGATTATTTACTGAGTTTCGAGGGGAAAAGCTTTATCACATTTCATATTTTCTTTTTTTGTCTTTTAGCATTTCTTCTAGTGCTCACAGATCTTTTAGATGCAAATTTAACTGTCAAACTCTTGTAAAGCTCTGTAATTCCCTCATTACTTTTTCCAAGTTTCTCGCTTGTTTTCAGAACTGTAGCCTTTAAGGTATTCACTTTAGTAAATTGATAGTAGACCAGAAGTGCCATTCTGGCAGCTAAGAGTATGAATAGGTGCACTTTCTGGGTAATAAATTTACTGATAATTTAAAATTAGTGAAGCAACAGCGTTGTGTTTGGCGTAGATTTAGTCAAGAACTCGGTTGATTTTGAGGGCAAACAGATGCAGGTCTCTCTTCATCGGGAGCAAAGAAATCTGTGCAAGACTAAAAAGTAGCATATGCAATGGTCATATTTATACCCTACAGCTGTAAAGCGAATGAAAAGGTAGTTCCAGCTGTTGGCAAATATAGCAACGAAAATTAAAAAATTAAGTTAAAAAAATTTTGAAAGGAAAAACTGGATTGAATTTAAAGTCATTAACTAAATTAATTAGATTAAAGAAAATTAATTCACTAATAAAAGATTTTTGGATAATTTTTATGGACCCAAAGTCAAAATTATGATTAGATTTCTGACTGTGATTAGGTGTCGAAGACTTGTGAATTTAGCTTTTTTGAACATAAGATATATGGAATAAGAATGATAAACACTGATAGTTTAATCTAGGCTCCTATCTTAAAACTGGGCCCACTGCATGTTCATTTTTGTGGTATACTTTAATATAAATATGAACTCAGTGCTATAATATCCTCCACAAAGACCCCTTCCTTAAATAGCTTTGTCATAAATGAAATAACCCTTGGCCTCAGTCTTTGAATTCATAATAGCAGATATCGGTGCATAAAATCAAAACAGAAAACTCCATTTAAATATCATCTGTAATGTTAGGTGACAAACTAGTGTGAAAATGATAAAATATTATTTCACATGCTTGGTTACATAAAACAGTTGTGTTGATACGGGAATTTCACAGATGGCATACCTGCTTCCTGAGTGGGAATAATGAGTCCTCATGTTCAATTAGGATTCCTGCATTTTCATGCAAGAACACTATGCATTTGAATTCCAACTGAGGAAGCAGATAGGGCATTTGTGAGCTCACATCAGTGCAGTTATTTTTATTTAATTTTATCATTTCCAAAAAAAAAAAAATGTTATACAATGAGGTAACTCATTGAAATATAGATAGTGAATTTTACTGGGAAAAAGTTAAAAATACTCTTAATCCGCAAAAATTAAAACATTCAGAAAATCAAATTGATTAATAGCAAATAATATTAAAACATATCCTGTTATGTCAAATTATAACTGGCACATGATTTGATTGCTCAAGTTGAATTTAACTCTCACTTAAAAAAGTCTTATGATCCTGGGGTTAAGTTTCCTGGCCAACTCAGTCTCTCAAATTTCCTTGCAAGTAAGTTTATGCAGTACAGAACATTTTTTATCATGTCAAATTACATGACATTTTTGAGCCAGTTATGAAGTAATTGAAACTGTCAAAAAGGATGCATGAAGATAGATTTGACTGGTTACCCCCTCCAAAAAGAGCAATTAGCATTTTAAAAATTTAGATTAAAATGTTCTTTAAATATTTTCCATTGATCTTTAAAAGCACTAAGTAATTTATGATGACTGACGGGAATCAAGGAGTAAAAAATTATGTCTGTGTTTGCCATTGGCAAAAGCTTTGGGCACCATATACTGTGGCAGACAAAAAGGAAAAACTCCCATCACCTGATAAAAAATGGAAAAGTGTGCACGTAATGTGTTACATGTATATATTTTTACGTAAAGATCCCATTATTAAATAAAATAAAATTGTAGGATTATCTTAATCAAGTTTTATAAGGATTAATAAATTATGTGTATGCTTAATTATGAAGAAAAATGAAAAGGTAAGAAATGCAACATTTAATTAAAATGTGGAACAAAGTAATTGATACAGATTTTGTAATTAATAATAATTCTATATAACTGCAGTCATATTACAAGTATGTAAAAATGTATACATGCATGAGGATCACTTCAATATTTAGTAGATCCTCCACGAGTTGAGATGACAGCGTTGCAGTAGTTGGCAAAGAAGATAACTTCTGAATGTAATCCTGGCATGGTTAATAAAATCAAACTGTAATAATGCTTTCCAGTGGTTTAATCTTAGTAGTAGGCTTTCAGTAAGTAATATGCAACAGCCTTTAAGCTGTTTTAATCAGCAAGAATGTTACCAAGTGTGTACCAAAGACCCATATTACACTTATAACTTAGAATTCTTAATAGTGAAAGTGGTACGGAATGCTAAAGAAGTTAATTTCAGACACTCAAGTTGTGAATATGTTAATTTGAATTATTACCTGTACTAATTTCATTCGTGAAAACAGTTTTGCTGTGTAATTATATTTATGTAATGTAATTTATGAGTCATGTGAAAGTTTCAGTAGTGTAAGTAGTTTTCTTTCTCTGTTCCTCTCAAAATTTAATATTTTCTAATATTGAAACTTTTACATTAGCTGATTGGAAGTTCTCTGCTATTTGTTCACGACAAAATGAATGCAAATATATGGATGATTGACTTTGCAAAAACAGTACCTGTTCCACCTCATTTACACATTACTCACCGTGATCCATGGAAAGTAGGAAACCATGAAGATGGGTATTTAATTGGAGTTCTGAATTTATTGAACATATTCAAATCATTAGTTGAAAAGTGCTCATAATGTGTTTATATATATTTTCATTCTGTACATGGATCGTCACTGCAGATTTTATTCCTAAATGATATTTGAATATGTTTTGCTTAGCTGAATACGTGTAGTAAATGTATAAATATATTTTCGTATTGTATAGTTATTTTCCTTAACTTGTAATAAATATTCTTCATACATATGTGTTGTTTGTTAATCTAGGTGTATTTTAAGATTGAAACGATTTCAAGTCTGTAATGCAAATTCACTTTTACTTGCTTTTCGAAATTAAATATTTACAAGGTTAATGTTTAATCATATGAAGCTTATAATTAAGATGCCCCATTACCGCATTAGAAAGACTCGTACACATGAGATGCAGAAACTTAGAAATACTGATGGTGTAGAATGTACATTGCACATTGAAGAGGAAAACATTCTGATGGTTGTAGAATGCTAAAATGTTGAATCCGTAATGACTAGGAAATTTGGCAGCCTGGTAAGATTAAATGTTCATTTTTAATTTCAGTTGGCATTTGTGGCCACAATTTACTTGGCACAGTACAACTATTCAAGAACACTTACAGTTTTGATGCCATTGCGATAGAAAAGCAGAAGCTAAAAACAGATTAATTTAGAAATGGCACAGTCCAGAAAAGTACTTTCTACTTTTAGAATACAAAGAGGAAAAATACCCAAATTAAAAAAGAGGAATTAAAAGGCTATTACTAAATTAAATTATAAAGCTGATTTACATAATTTTTAGCTTGCATCTCTTTTTATCTTATATATACAGTAAACCGTCGTTAACACTAATCTCAAGACAGAAAAATCAAGAGTTCATATGAACTAGTGACTGAAATGTTATTTTTTGGACACAAACTATTTGCAGTATATAATTACATAAGTACTGCACTATAATATTATGTTGTCTTATGTACTACAATGTATGTTGTCAGTAGTAGTCATGACTTCCATAAAATTAGTGGTTAGTTTGGATGTTGCAGCAAAACATTCTACAGTGACCAAACATTTTCTGGCAAGTGCACAGAATGATTTTGTCCTCCTCACTTTTACCTGATAACATCAAATTCCACTGGAGAACACATGGCAATGACATCATTTGCGCTAACATACTCTGTGAAACTCATTGTTGATGCAATGATTGAGATTGTTCAGGAATGTTACTTATGCTGGGCTATGTTTTAAAGAATACAGTGCATTCTGAATCTTCAATTAGAAGGGATAGAAAATTTCTGAACACAAGCCTAGCCGAGAAACAACAGGAAAAATGTGACAAACTTTGAAAGTTCGTCACTAATGATGCAATGAACTAAAAAAGAAAGTTTGTAATTACTGCTGACTGAAATTCACGTTGACCAACAAGATCTTGTACATCATTGACAGGGTCAAAATTTAGTTCATGTTAAGGAACATTTAATCAACTTTTTATTTATTTAATGTTTACAGAATGACAGCTTTAGTTATTTTATTCTATAAAATATGTTACTAATATTTTTTGAAATTTTTATATAATGTATCTCTTCATTTTGAATTCGTGTGGAAAAAAACTCCTGTGATTAGTGTGTAGTTTTTCCTCAACAGTGAGAAACATTTAACTTAAAAAAATTTAAATTGGATACATAAAAATTAAAATCAACAGGTACTGCTTCTCAAAATTTCATCTAAAGCAGTGTGACATGGAAGACTTTCTATATGGATTTTTTTCAGTGCTAAGAGCAATAATCCCCTTATTTAACATCTATTACTGCATAGGCTTAAACAAAAGCTAGAAAATGTGGACACATACTGATTTCTTAGCACTATTAAGTTTTTCTTTGGATATGAGAATTAGTATATAAAACATCTTCAAAGTTTTATTTAACTTTTATTGCTAGTCCCAGACATCCTGGTTTTTATTTTTCAGCCTTAAATCACCGAGGAAAATATTTCCCAGCAATAAATGAAACTTAAATTCCGCAAATTCCATTCTTCTATTGATTTGCTACAGAATTTTCATCATTTAATCTGAATTGCTTTAATCTATACACATTTGTAGAACATTTTATGAAGATTTAAGATGTTTAATTAGGTAATATTTGTATTCAATTTTATTCTTTATTAATAAATGGTACATTAAGTTCATACACATAATAGTGTATATGTGTATTACTAATTTTCCATCACATTTAAAAGTACTTATAAATAAAAGCTTTTTTCCTGTATTCAAGATTGTCTCAGTATAAAAGTGTAAGAAAATGAAATTAAATCAAAGAACATAAAAATTTAGAATACTAATTAAGTATTGATATCTTTTACATTAGATTCACATTTTAAAGAGTTAAATAACCTGAATTGTTGCATGATAAATTGAATCTAAGTCAATTTGGAATTCTCCAGAAATGGCACTAAGATCCTGGATTTTTACATTTCAAAGTAGCCAACTATATCAACTGTGAAACTGCAAAGTTTTGCGCTCTTTGTTAATTTCAGAAGTCAATGTGGCAATAAGATACCAATGTACAAATAAAACTGTAAATTCACAAATTGCTTAGTATTTGATTTCTATATTAATGTGTAAGAATTTGTAACATGTGCCACTGATACGAAATTCACCCAAAACTTTGAAGATAAATATTTTCATCATACTTGTTCTCTCTACATTCACTTTCCAACCTAGTTGCTACTTAAAGTTGTTTCTTTTGAATGTGCTGAAATGCAATAGAAGTTTAAGTAAAGCATGTAATTTTAGAATTTCTGCCATCAATAACAAAACTATTTTAGAAAGGAGATAAAATTACATCCAATCAGTTATATAAAGTTAAAATCTCACTTGAAGGTAAAGCTTTTTGTAATGAAAAAAATATTATTGAAAAATACAGGTTTTTCCTACACTATGAAAATATAGCATTTGTGTGCTCTTTTGTAAACTTATATTTGAGGGGATAATAAGTATTCCAACCTTTAGCAAGGCCTTTAACAATGTAGCAAATTATATCAGATAACATACAAAGTTAGTATGCATCCTGTATAAGTAGTAATTTCACTTTCAAAAATTGAGAAACCAAGATGTAGTCGTTGGTACAGAATAATGATGCAGTGAGTTGTCAGATATTTTGTGTTTATAAGAGACAGGAAGGAATAATTTTTTTTTATGTGTGTGTCTCATCATTATTTGTATCAATCAATGCCAAGGTTTTTTTTACCATACTTAAATTTAGAAATTATAGCAAAATACATTAGTTCTAAAACTAATGTGAGCAACAGATGTATTTTAAAAGTGTACTCAAATTCCTTACCCTTGATTTTTGGGAGGGGTTATTTCCTTTTTAAAAAATCATTGTTTTAAACTTTGTCAAATGTACATAACATCCAGCAAATTTTAAAATAGAATTCAATTTACATTTAGTCCAAAATGTACGTTTTAGATGTAGATTAATGCTAAGTAGCTCAAAAATCAAATGACATATTTTTTATGAAAGCTGTCATTTCCTTGAAATCTTTTCCATCAGTTTTAATAAGCACTACACTTTTTTAAATTTTAAAACTGATCTTTTTGTAAATCCACACATTCATAATAAAAAATCACCTTTTAAAAGCATCAGAAAAAAAAAAAAAGAATGAACTATGATTATAACAATTTTGCTACAATGTATTATCCTGTGGACCATGAAACTCACCAAGCAGTGAGATTTAGCATTAGTGATGAATAAGCGTGAAACACAACTCGTAACATCTGCACTTTCATTTGATGTAATCGCAATGATTTCTGGATAAGCCACCTCTTATTTCTATTAACAAGGATATAAATTAGCTTTATTGCCATAATTTTTTTCTCTTGGATTTTGAAAATGTGATTAAAATTTGGGACCTCCCTTCTACAGAATGGCAAATTATAGATTATGTTCAAGGTTATAGTATCCTGTCTAAAAAAGTGTTTAACAATGGAATATGGTATGGTCAGCTGAATACAGTTGACAAAACAATAATACATTAGAACAATTATTTAGAGGAAGTCTGTACTCGTAGCGTTTTAAACAAGACTTCCAATAAAATTGGAGACTAACAAAATAGCAGAAATCGACAAAGTGGAAAAACAATGGATTGAATACTGATTTTTTATTAAGTAATAAAACATCAATTTCTTAAGAATTCTGTAAGAACAATTGCAGCAATCTGCCAAAATTTATGGTCAATAGGATAATATGCCAGTACTCTAACTTTGAAATATTTTTGAGGCTAAAATTTAAAAAAATTTCTATTCTGAACGGCCAAAAGCAATAAAACATATTTTTATAACAAAATATACTCTGTTACAGTAACAAAGTCATTTGTAAGTTAGGATAATTTTCAATAACATCAATTTAAGAATTTGTTTTTTCTTTCACTTCTAAATCAAAACTGTATAAAAATATTATACTATTCAGAGAGAATAAAAAGTATGAATACTTCATGAAGTATTACAGTATATTTGCTTGACAATATATTCTTGGGAACCTTATAAAACAACCATTTCTGCCAGTAATCAGTAAAAATATTATTTTCATACGAGTGCTGTTTGAAGTAACGAAATAAAGAGGTTCTTCGATACTTGCATATAATTTTTTATTACAAATAAAATTAAATTTATACCTGTATTGCTTGTTATCTTTGTAAAGTTTTAAAAATGCAAAGTAATCTATCATAGCTTTTAGTGTTTGAATCTGATAATTTAATAATAACTAGCGTGTTAATCGAGGATAGATTCCTTCTATCGTGTTGCTAGGGCTAAACAAAATTTTTCTTTTTCTAATTTTGTAATTACATTTATATTTTTTACATAATGAAAACTGGATTTATAGGGAAAATTTCAGAGTAGTGAACACCTGTAAGCGTATGAAGAAATGCTATGAAAACTATCGATTCCATTATTCAACCATGCCACATTAAGAAAGCCCAAGTTCTTAGTTACATTAAACCTTACAGTTAATAAAACTTATGATTTTTAATTTTATTACAAAATATACGAGTTAACTTCTATTCTAAAATTTCCTACTTATAAAAAAAATAAAAGTGAAATGACAGACCATTAACACCATTCAATAATGAATAAGCCACAAAACAGTAGCTATTGAAGGCCAAGATGAGCTTGCTCCATAACTGTTTCCTAGATACGAGCTAGTTTCCATTATAAGAGTCATCTAGCATTTAGGCTTTAAGTCC